GAGGACAAAGTGCAGATTTTCAAAGCAATGAGCGGTGAATTCACTGGATCAGGTCATTGGTATTCGTGTCCTAATGGTCATCCATACACAATTGGAGAATGTGGAATGGCCATGCAGAGTAGCAGATGTCCAGGTTGCGGAGCGTCCATTGGAGGGGCAAATCACTCATTTATTGCAGGAAATGTGCGGAATACGGAATTTGAAGCCTTTTATTAAATGGCTGCGAAATGATTGCGGATAAAAACTAAGATAAATAAGATTGTACTGCGTATACATTTGTCAGAAGTTACTAGTGGAGTGTAACCGATATCATTCACTGCGTCATACATATAATAATTTGATGTATTTTAAAAATAATAAATAATGAAAACCATATGGCGAGTTATTAATCAATAAAGGGGGGGATTTTAAAAAAAAAACCCCCGACATTGATTTAAAGTTTTTTTTTACCAATAATAAAACTCCAAAGAAATGGATATTATAAACTACGGGAAAAGAAAAAATAGTTGGCCTCGAAAGTTATATTAAGTAGCTGGAAACCTTTGTAAGTCACTATACAGTATATACCAAATACTTATTAATTTAATATAAATTGCATACATCTAAGCAATAATATTTAATTCGCTTTCTCTTCAAGTCAATTGAATCGACCGATTTCTGTTACCAATGAAATGTTTTCTGGTGATCTTGATCTCGATTTCATTTTGATAAGGTTATTTGTCTCGTCTCATTCCTAACTTTCAGCCAATTCCTCGTGCCAGTGAAATGATTTCTAGTGTCTGAAGTCACGTGGGTGACACGATTTACGCGTAACGGGTCTAGAACCTAAAAACGAAAGTCTGGTAAGGTAAGAAACTATGGATTAAGGTCCAGGTACTGATAAGGGAACAGTGTATGTATGACGAAGTATGGAAAGTTTAGCAAAGTTTAGAGTTAGCATAACTTATTTTTTTTTTTTGAAAACTGGTTCATTCTATGCCTTTTTCGATGCTTTATTAAAAAAAAAAGACCATACTGTATTTAGGGACAATCGGGATTAATATTTTCCCATACTGTCTAAGGATTTACAGATCAGTAGAGAGAAATAGAACAAAGAGTTATCTATTTGTATGACTTAATCTATGTCTAATCTAACCAGAATAGGAAAAATACATGATCGCTTAATGCAAATATTGTACTTCTCTTTTAAAAACAAAACTGGGAATAAGTCAGATGCACATGGTTATGTATTGCTGAACACATCCTCTTAATCAAGGGTTAACATTATTTAGAGTACACTAATGTATCCACTGATTGACTTGTTACCATTTACTAACAGGGCCTAATATGTCAGAACTTGCTTAAGATTTCTAGTACCATCTGATGTTAGGGATCTCTTATACTAGTTAAAGATTAGTCAGCATTGACCTAAAAAAGAAGAAAAAATAAAAAGGAAAAGTTGAAAATATTTACAAGAAAAAATGAAAGAAGAAGAAGGGACATCTAACAATAGCTTTTTTATTCAACATTGTTTCTGGAAAAATATTTATTCCATGGTTATAATACTTTCGGGAAATAATAAGAAAGAGAAGATCACAATCTATATAATGTTTATTCACTTACATAATTAGTCAATAACTTATAATGGACCTAAGGTTCTTATAGAACTTAGAAAATACATTCACATTCTATATCATGTATATTCTTATTTATATTTCTGCTAATCATAAAACAACTAATCTCAGTTTTCAATCAATTAATCTTTTTAAAATTTGGTGTAATGAAAAATTTAGAGTCAAGCTGGAATAGGCAAAATTTCTAAAAAAAATCAAAGAAAAATTGTTACATATTAAGTGAAAAACTATTTTTGCCTGTAATATTTATATCAGTTTCAAGCTGTCATAGAATTATTGATTCACACTTTTTCTTAAACTTTGGAATCTCTATAGAAAAAAAAGTGGATACTTTTTCATCTAGTTTCTTCTTTCTAAAAAAGCTTTCTTGCCATTAACTTCTTAGGTAGAAGGTTTTTGAAAATAAATAAAAAAGATAAAATATGACTATTACTAAATAAATGAAGCAAGTGAGTATTTTTAGAGAAAGTTTTGAAGTTTTATTACTCTCAAAATATAGAGTTTTGAAGAAACACTTCTTTAAAAGTAGTGATCAGGAATCTATGAAAAAGAGTTGATTAGAGTTAACATAACTTATATAAAGGAAATAATATATTATTAACTAAAAAAGCATATATAACCTATTAATATAAGTCAAAAAGGCAATTCTGAATTTATCAAGACAGCCCTCATTGAAAATAGAAATAATTATTAATATTATACTATACTAAAAAAATAAAATATAAATAAAAGAGATATTTATTTGATCAAGTCACTTACTATATTTCTACCTTTTTTAAGTATTCTTTACAAAAGGTATGCTCTACTTTTAGAATATTTATATATGTTTATTGTTAATTGTTTAGTTATATAAGATACTACAAATTAATATTCATATTAAAAAAAACTCTTTCCGCTGATCCTAAATTTCCTAAAAAATTTCCTTTTTTGGCAATTTTCTTGGAAAAACCA